CCGGATATCTTTTAGCTCGCGTCTTCCACCATTCGAGGGGTGATTCGTTATGACCAATGATTGTTTCTATTAAATATTGATCGAATTGTCGTTGCCAGCTCGTTTCCACATTTAAATTTCCTTTTCGAAAGATAAAATCTAAAGCAGTTTCAATTTCCTGTGAATTTGGTTCGGGTGCATCGACTAAAGCTATTGCCTGTAATAGATTATTTTCTATTTTTATCTTTGCAATATGTATTTATTCCTTCACACTTATTAGCTCAATAAGAAAAATATTTCAAAACTTAGAATCAAGGATGTGCAGAATAATCTTATGCAAATCTTACGATGCAAGCAAATTTATTGTATAATAAAAATTAAGTTCACACATTTTATAAATTACTTTTATTCTGCAATGTTTAATTAGCTAATATAAAGTAATGAAATGAATAAAATTATTGATGCAAAATGTTTTGTTTGTTCACAAGTCATTACAAATAGCCTATTAATATTTGCAAAATGTCCAAATGGCTATATGCAATTTTATTTCTCATATAATTTACTATTTTAAGAGATACATATTTAGAACATAAACAAATATTGGATAAAAAAAATATTTTAACCTGCAATTTTTCCTTAATAAAATCTTTTATTTTCATTTTCTCCTCTTCACATGATTCGGCTGTCAATTGCTTATGGCGAGGATCGAGAAAACTTGCAATTTGATGTATACTAATTCTTTGATTAGACTGTGCCATATTGAAGCGTCTAGTGAGAGATTGATGAAGTATGCACTTTAATGTACGAATGAGATTTCCATCCAAAATATCTTCTGTCAAGTGATTATCTATGATGCCGCGTATTACCGGGCGAACCAAAGATATCGTAACTTCAGATGAGGAGCAAAATATGGTGGTTGCACATTGCAAAGGCTTCAAAAGTGATACTAATTCATTTATAATTGACCATTCGCTTGCAGTCATTTCTAAATTTCGTGCTTGCACTGGTTTTGTCACGGAATTATTATTAAGTACTGCCAAAATAGGAGTTCTATTTTTATATAGCCGTTCGCACATATAATATGTTGAATTCCATCTTGTGGGACAACTTTGAATTAATGCTTCTTCCGGAAAATTAAGTTTAATTTGAGTATTATGTAGTTCTTGCGTGGCCAGAGCGGAATGTTTAAAGTGTCCTACAATTTTCCTTGCTTTTTGTATGATACATTCTATTTCCTCCAATTGCAATGCATCGTTTACGGCCAGTTGTAAAGTGTGAGCTGCACAACCAATATGTTCCCTTGTATTTTGTAAAATTTCTCCCGCGTTTATCATATTAGCTGCATTGTCGTGAACCAATGTAAAAATTTGATGTTCTACGTCCCAATCAGAAAATATCATTTCTAAACCCAGAGCTATATTTTCGGCGGTGTGTCGTTCTTCTAATCCAATTGTGCATAGAGTATAATGCCTCAATTCCCATTTTTCTTTATCAATATAATGCGCCGTAACTGATAAGTATGCATCTTGTGAAAGAGATGTCCAAATATCCGTCGAACATGATATACTTGCATTGTCACGTTGCATCTCACGTTGGACGCATGTCTTTACTTCATCATAAATTAATTGTAGTCGCGAAAGAATTGTTTTTGTTGCAGGAACCACATATCCAGGTTCTATTGTTGCCATGAATTGACGGAAGCCTTCGGTCTCAGCAAAAGATAGCGGCAACTGATTTATTATAATTAAACGGGCGAGTGCTTGAGATATATTTTCTTTGCGGTCTGTACTACATACTTCATCAGCTTTTCGTTTTAATTTCCTTTTGCGCGGCGGTTGTCTTGTATTATCTGTTAGCAA